CCGAGGGCAGCGATTCGAATGTTGAGAGAAGAGATGAATGCGAACGAGTCCGATGGCGTCGTTGAGGGCCGATCAGTCGAGTCCAGATGGGCGGTGCCGTGAGCGCAACGTAGCCAGTGCCAGTCAACTTGACGTTGGCTGTGCTGACAGCGTATCGGCTTACTGAGCCGTACCGATGGGACTTGGCCAAATGAATGACTGTGCTTGGGAGCTCGAGTGGACCAGGCAAGCAAGCGAAGGGCGGGAAGAGGTACGAAAAGCAAGCGAGGGGACTGGTGTCGTATTTAGGTTCGACTTGCCAGCCGGATCGAAGGAGCCAGACTCGCGTGATAACAAAGGCGCGCTGGCGAATGAGGGGGGTTGGCGAAGAAGGCTACCTTGAAGGCAAAGGAGCAGCGGGAAGGAAGACTGATAGTCGCGCTGATGGTGGGTGGTGGAAGTGTGCCGGGCGCATCAGCTACGGTACCATCATCAGGGGTGGGAAGAGTGACGCTGCAATCCTGCCGTTTCGGTTTTCGAGGCGTCGTCTGGCGTCTGGCGTCCGGGGGCGCGGGCGCTCGTGTCGTCGCTACCGTCGGCAGAGTTCGTGGGCGTGGTTCGCGTCGTCAGGTACCTAGGGCGAGGCAGAGCCGTCGCACAAAGGATCGTCCGGTGTGCACAGAGGTAGGCAGAAGGAGATGAACGAGGTCGCAGAAGTCTGCTTCTGACTTCTGACTTCTGACCACTCGATTGAGAGGGCGCACGGCAGGAGCGAAGGAGCAGGATGACGGAGGAGGAAGAGGCAGGCAAAATGGGAGGGTGAAGAATAGAGAGGCAGAGTAGCGAATGATTGGCAATGCTGAGCAATGGCTCCAGGTGCTAGCTGCCTTGCCCGACGGGATGTTTAGCAGGCAACGCAGGTGCCGGTAGCAGGCAGGTGTGGTGTACCCACTGGTGACCGTTGGACGCAGTAATGAGGCGGTCAGGCAATCTAGGAGACCAGGGGCCAGGCAAGAAGGGCCGGGCAAGGAGGACCAGGCAGTTACAACTCCCGAGGCAGTGGGCGCAAGACGTTCAGGGCGGCGGGCAAACGGTTAAGTCGGAGGGCAGAGGCAGAATCTTCTCAAATACACTGGAGCTCTTCTTGTGGGCCTCCCCCCCTTGTCGTACTACCTATGTACTGGACGTCTTGTTGCTGGCGGCGCGCGCAGGCAAGACGAGCCGCCGCCAAGAAGAATACCTGCTAGCGTGAAGAAAATTGTTGCTCGCTCGCTTCGCTCTCGCTGTACCAGCGATCTCATCCACTGACAAACGAGACAGAGCGAGAGGGACGATCCTGGCTCGCGTCTAGCTCGTCCGATGGTTGGGTCGACAGCTGATCAATAAAAATCAAGCCTTTGTCGAATCAAGGTGCCGCTGGCAGCCCGCTCCCCCGCCGCCACGATGATGCCAGTGCGCATGTGGCTTCTGCTCTCAAAGGAAGCCCCGCCGATAGCAACTGGTGTGGAGGGGGAAATACAAGAGATGCACCAGCAGCTCTGCTGTGATGCGTGATGAAAGAAGTAGAAGGGGGGGGGGCATTGACGAGGGGAGCGACCCCCCTTGACCCATTGGATCTTTGGGGCTCTTTTTTCGGCAGACCCAGCATGATGACATTTCTGTCCTTCCACCCAATGAAAACCCAGCAGAGAGCGGGCCTTACCCCGGATTTCTTCACCCCTCGACCAGGCCCTGACTCGACACCACGCGGGCGCATGAAGGAAAAACAATGTCGCTAGCCCCCCCCCCATGTCACGCCTCAACATCGTGTTGGAATGAGGCCCTTGGGCGAGTACGTAAACTCAATATAACCAACTGGGTCCTCCAAAGAACTGGATGCGCCAAATGCTTGACCTAGGTAGGTGACCGGCCGCTCGAACGGTGCCTTGGATAGCTGGGTCTTCTGGCGTGCGTTGCACCACCTTTGGCACACGATGATCCTTGGCGATCACCATTTCCTGTCTGCCTGGCGAAGCGAACCGCTCCACGATCGCCCACGTTAATCCACGTTGCACCAAAGACATGAGCCAGACGCCCACCGCGGTCCTTTCATTCCTTCTGCCGTTCGACACGAGCCCCCCTCCCCTCCTTCTGGCGTGGGTGCATGTAAACAAGCTTAACATCCACGCAGCGGCGTACCGGATCCTTGGATGTGACGGCTTCTAGGGCCCTTGAAACGGCCCCTCGTGTTTTCTCTCGGTGTGCTCCCTGCCCCCCTCTCTCCCTCTCTCTACTGCAATTCCTTGGCAAAACTCTACTTGCGCAATCGAACCACCTTGCCCCTCCAAGACACCGACACAAAGCTTTTCATCACCTGCTGCACGGCAATGCCCATCTCGTCGGGAAGCCAACGAGTCAAAACGTCGGGCAGGACATGTCCTGTTCCGGCGGGCAGGGCAACGTCGGACCACGACACGATGACACCATAATCCTTGCATACCACCCACCCATGCATGTCGAGCGCCGACCCAGAACTCACAACTGCCCAAGAGCAAAGATTGATCACGTGCTTTGCATCGACGTCTAGAAATCAATGACGTCAGTACCGTGCTCGCACGTGATCAACACTCCCACTCATGCCTGTGACTGACTCTGTTGGCCATCGAGCTGAACCAAGATCGTACGCGAGCTGGATTTGATCCCCTGTCGGAGCCGAAGGTCAGCGGCCCCGGAATCTGCTTGTCGGCGGCATCCGATTCAGGGTCCGTCTGCACAGTCACCTCGGCCCGTTCCCACGTCACTTGCGTCACTCCGCAGCCCGGCAGGCTGCGTCATCTTGAGCCCCTAACAGGCATCATGTCGAGCTTTGCGTCAGGATCACTGCCGTGCAACACTTGATCTGAAGGTCGGTGCTGCCAGCCCTGCAGACAATCAATCTGCGGTCACACAAAGTACGGCGTGATGTATGAAGCATCATTCCTGGCGTTTTCGGCATTGCATTGCTAGATCGCGTCTTCATCGCCCTCTTATTATTTAACAGCCGCTCCTTCGGAGAAGCTTCCTACTATATTTACCGTCAACCCATACCTGCAACGTGTGAAGAACCTGTACAAGCCAAGTGATATCATCGTCCCATACCTACGCATCTAGGCGAATGCACCCTCCGCCGGGAAAGCAAAGACCAACACCAGACATGCCGCCGTTGAAGATCGTCACCGAAAGAACCACCGTACTCCATGTAATCATAATCCCTGCCCACAGCGAATAGCTCACCTACTGTATCCGTGCTTCCCCACTTCCCTTTTCTCGCTCTTCTCTCCTTCTCTTAGGTGCCTGACGACACGGACAGGTACTTATTCAAGCTGACATCTTTACTGGTTGGCGCCAACGCCACCACCGAAGAAAAAGTCAAACTCGTTCCCAGGACCTCTTGCGAATTGTTGCTCGTTCTCTGCGAGCTGCTCCAGAAGACTCAGGAACGGGTCCTTCTCCTCACCAGGCCCAGTGCCTGTACTGCCGTTGGTGCTCTTTGCCCCGGGGCTGGGGGCCGCTGCGTGGCCTGCTGATGTCGGCCCTTGCGGAGGCGCAACCGGAAGCTTGTTGCCGCTTCCATCGTCGGCGCCCTGCCAAGCGGCAGGACTGCTAAAGGCATTGGTCGGTAGACCTCCGAACATTGGGTCATAAGAACCAGACCCGTCACCGCCCGCAGTCGCTCCGGGAGTGTTAAAGCTAAACTGCGGGGAGAAAGGTGCGCCTGTTAGAGATGGAATGCCTTGTTGCTGTTGATGGTGGTGGTGTGTCTGCAAAGCGAAGCCTGCCGCCGCAGCCGCAGCTGCAGCTGACTCGTCATACTGGCCGTTCATGGTGGCATCTGCTGATGGTGGTCTGCCATCTCGTGATGAGCATGGAGACCGTTGCTGGCCGAGAATGGACCAGGTGAAGGCTGCGGTGGCGGCATTCCGGAGCTCTGGTGTGAGAAGGAATGTCGAGGTCGGGATCCGTTCTGCAGGCCAGGTGTGGGAGGTGCTGGCATACTTGCGCTGAGAGACGCCACAACAGCCATGTCCGGGCGTTTGCGGCTAGAGGACGACGTGCTTTTGCGCTTTAGGTTTGGTCGCTCGCCGTCGTTGCTGCTGGCAGTGCGTGGCGCATACAGGTCGTGCCCTACATAAGAGTCTGCCGTGAAGTCGACAACAGCGTCTGCCAGACTCAGATTGGCGGCATCAAAGTTGAATGACTGGCCTCCCGGCCCGCCAATGTTGGCGTACCGATCAAAAAAGTCCTCTAGGTGAAATGCAGGCGAGTACCTCATAGGGTTGTTGGCTAAGCTTTTGATAAGCTCAGAATGGGCATTATAGATACCCTGCAGCGTTTCGCGTTGATGCTGCACGCTCACCCAAACATATCTGAGTTCGCTGAGCTGCTGCATTTCGCGTGACAAAAACTCCGAGGACGAGCTGAAAACGTTCATTTCTCCGCTTCCAGCCTTGTTGTAGTGTGCACCGTGGATGTGTACGGTTCCGGCGGTGCAGATGCAATAGCCGACGAAGGCTGGCCATTCGATGCTACCCGTCTGCTTGCCAAGCTCTACGAGTTCTGAGATGGCGTTCGCATGCAGAAAGCACATGTTCGTGGCCTCGATTTGCCATGACTGATGTTGACCAGTCCCTGAAAGCTCAGAAAGATCGATCGGAAGGAACGGCCTGTATATCAGACAGTGGATGAGATGGTAGATTAATTTGCTCAACACCAGAATTGTCGAGTCCAGTTGACCGAACAAGGTGTCCAGGCTGGAAAACACGTCCTCGGTGCCGGATGCCCAGATGTCGAGGTCTTGTCGAATTTTGGAAAGGTTGGAAAGTGAATGCCATGGGAAGTGCGAATCGCCTTTAACGCCACCAGCAGCGAGGTACCTGTTGGTGATGCCCAGGATACGGCTGATATCGATCAACATGCCAGTGCTTCCTTGCGTCTTCTTCCCACTGCCTTGGAGGTATTGGAGGTTGGACGCGGCTTGGAAGAACTCGCCGTCGATGGGGAGTGCCGATGGGTTTGGCGACCAACAAGGGAGACGTAGAATGATGGTCTTGTCTCCAATCAGTGACGGTCGCTTCGAACCACAGGCTAGAAACTTGTCGAGGAGGTAGCATGTCCAAAACAGCCTTCGTCGCATCTCTCTCTCCACTGGCGTAACTCGTGCGTGAGAGTCCATTTCTCGGTGCATTTCTAGTGCCGTCGCCATACCAACTGCATTGGCTGCTTCCTGTCAGAAACTGGGTGGATAGCAGGGAGCATGTGGGTGTCACTCACTCATCAGCATGTAGGCCTTTTTCCCCTTGCCTGCCGCAGTGAACGCAATGACCAACAGCAGCAACGCTTGCAGTGCGTCGACGGAAGGCTCATCAGTATCCAGTTCTATCCTTGAACGTGCCGCATAATCTTCGCTCAACTTGACAGCTGCTTGGTAGCCGCCTGGATGAGGCGTGTATCTAAGAGGGTATTTTTAGAACTGGAGATCCTGCAGCAGGACTTTCTGGTGCGTACCTTGCTGCGACAGCACATATTCCTTGTACCAGATAGCCTGGCAACTGACTCAATTGCAGGCGTTGCCGCACTGAAGATTCGTCAAGTATGTGGAACGGTTTGGCGTGGAAACGGGCAAAGTAGGTGTCCAGTAGAGTATCAGGCTGAACGGTTGGAGGAGAAGGTTCGCTGGAAAAGTTAGCTTCTTTGCGCATCATACGACAACAGGGGAACGCTACCCTGCGGGAGCTGGCGAATACACGGCGGACTCATCCGCGTCGCTCTGCCTCATTGTGTCAATGGCGAGTCGTTTCGGCTTAGGTTCCACCTCGTCAGAAACCTCAGCTGCCGATGACGAAGAGGCCTCCTCGTCTAGAGGTCCAGGGGCTGCCGGTTCTGTGGGCGTCTTCTCTCCTGCATTCTTCTCCTTTAACTTTGCCTCGAGTCCGTCAACCCTCTTCAACAATGCCTCAAGAACATCCGTCTTGGGGCCTCGCTTTTTTGGCACCGCGTCTATCCGGCAATATATCAGCACACATAACCACAGAGCACGCAATTGTGTCCCTCGCAGAGAGAAAACCAAAGAAAACACGCACCGTAAATGCATGGGCATTGGAAGACTTGGCAAGCTTCACAGGCCGGTCGAAGACGATTACACTTGATCTGCAGGGTTCAATGTCAGACTGCGGTCGTGTCACACAACGGCAGACCACCTGATTGGCATCGTGTGTGCGCTTACCTTGCGCTTGCGACAAGATTTACAGTTCATGGACTCTCTTGGCTCGTTGCTCATCCGTCTCGTCGGCAGCCGCTCAATGCCGACCTGGGGACGGGTCATGGCCGCGGCTTGGGGGATGGCCTGTAGTCCGTTCATTTGAGGTGGTAATCGATTGAACCAGGCGAGCAATACCGGAACGCCAGCAGAGGTGTCAAAGGGGCTGGTCACGGGTGGGGAAGGATTGCGCAAAGCACGAAGGGCTAGGCGGCGATCGCCCCGGGCACGACAGTTTTGGGTCTCGACAAGTCGTTCACGTGGCTATGTGGAACATGGTCGTCGAAGGTGGAGGTTCAGAATCTCTCTCGCGGTCTCAGGTTCGCGTGGCGTGGCGTGGCGCGTGAGGCGGCCCGGGATGTCGGGTAAGGGCCAAGTTGTGGTGCTGCGATGACACGACTGCTCGTGATGAGTCGTGGCGTGGGCGGTGTGTGCAGCAGCACTGAGACGTTGCTGGGTCGCGAGGACGACAATGATGGTGAGTCTTCCAGATGTGTGAGGGGGGTGAAGAACCAGACAGGATCGAATCGAGGGTGACGAGGCGAGGAGTAACTGAAAGAGGTGTTGCCCTAAGGTAAGGCAGGCAAGAAGAGGAAAGGAATGGGCAGGGGGGGCTAGTCCCACTCGAGGATGGTAAAATGAAGGCTGTTTTGTCTGTCCGCAAGCCGGTCTCAGTGGTCTCTTGATGCGTGGTACGTGGTGCGGAGGCGGGCTGGAGAGACAAGCGGGGCGGATTGGAGTGATGAGCCCTGCGAGTCGTGCAATTCCGGGGACCTTGAGGAGCAGCGATCCAGGTCCAGGTCAGCCAACACTCGAGCGGCACGACAGAGACAGCAGCGTGGCAAAGAAGGGAGGAAAGGGGAGAGGCTCAACTCGGCTCTTCAGCGGAGGAGATGGAGATCGTGGCATGAAAAGAAAAAGAGGAGACCAGGGTGCCTGCACCGACCGACACCAGGTAGACAGGCCAAACAAAAAAAAAACTGGGGGACACGACGAGAAGGCAGCCACAGGACCTCGGGGCCACGATGACGGGGGAGGAGGCAGCGGCGGGGCAGGGGACCAGGGTGGTGAGAAGAGAAGATGATTAGGGGGGTCGCCAGGGGGGTCGCCAGGGGGGGGGCTCCTCTCCCCTTGTGGTGAGGTGTGCTGCACAAGCGCCGATGTGGGAGAGTGGAGGAGGAAAAGAGGGGGGAGGGGTTTTCGAGGGGGGGTGGAGGAAGGAAGTTGGGGAACATGGGGCAAAAGATGG